CCCTGAATTGTCAAGTCGACCATAACATGAATGAAGGCTCTGAATGAGAAAATATCTCCGTAGACTGCAAGTAATATGGTTATTATTTTGAAATTATAGCATCATATTTCACTTCTATAATTCCAAATAACAAGGCTAGTAATCAAGCTCTGATAACGTTTGATCCCCAGCATGGACTTCCTTCCCTTCCATTAAGTCTAGTTAAGTACTTAAGTCTAGCTCTATGTAAAATTCAATGCAGCTTGATGGCTGTTTATATCAAGCTGGAACCCCAAAACTTCATAGAAGTTCATTTGACTAGAAACTTCTGCACTTTTGAAGCATAAAATGGAGCAGGTGCAGCAAAATTAAATGGATATGCACCTGTTCAAACAACAATCAAATAACGGTGAACGGAATGGTGCACAAAGAAGAAAGTCTAACAGCCTGAGATCCAAATCTTTTGACAATTCGAAGTCAGATAATTCGCATTTAGAAGTAGAGAAACTAACTCCAAATAATTTAGGAAAAAATAAATTGTTCTTCAAAGCAATGTCAGGAGATTAGCACTTTAACACCACAGGTCATCTTCCAAACTAGCTCCACCAGAATCAAGGCATGACCTAAAATCACTGACATCCAAATCGAGTTCAACTATGTTTTTCCATCTCATTTGTAAAAAGGGGTCTCAAGGCATGGCCATAGCAATATTTTTTACCAACACATACTATCACGATGAACCATTGACAGGTTCAGAATATTCAAATTTTAAATATTAACAGATTTCTTTCGGATGGCATCTACAAGGAGACTTTCAGGATCAAATACCTGAGAAAACATACATTCTTAACAGAAGGAGAACTGGCTCAGATATGTTAGGCATCAAACATAGCAAATGTCTTGAACATAAAACCAAAGGAAAGAGGAATAAGAAAAATATTAAAAAAAATAAAAGCTTGAAGTTTAGTATTTACTACAACTGCAATGGTGTGGTGTTCAATCCACTGAGAGTTACCAAAGAATAAAATCAAGAATCAAACTCAGATAGTTAAATTTTTAATTAATTCAGCATCCTATGATTAGTATTTAAGCAAAATGTTAGAAAAACTTGTCTGTAGAACATATCATACATTGGGATAGTATATTAGTTAGCTGCCAAAAAACTAAGTTTTTGTTGCATAATGTAGATGACTAAAACGAGCATGTGTTGGAATATGTTTGACGCAAAACTTTTCTATAAACCCCAAGATCACATGAAAAAGATCTTCCTCTTCACCAGGAATCACATATGTAAATCCTCATTACTTAAAAAACTGTCCGTCAATGAATCATCAAAAAAATAAAAAACAGAAGAGCAAGTTCTTAAAACTTTAAAATTTTCACTTTCTTCTTAAAAGTATCAACCATATTCGATCTGAAGCATGTGAACTCTGTCTCAGATGTACAATCTAAGAGAAACATATCCAGAGTTAAAGAGGGTCATCATTCAGACAAAGAATCCTGTTCACAAGTTTCCAAAGAGTCGTTGCCTTCTTAAAAACTAGCAAGTTTGACCCAACTACCAAGATTGCCTCGTCAACACTTACCTTGGGTCATGCCCCCAGATGGAAGCAAACTTAAAATCATGCCCCCAAATGGAGGGCAGATCATCTGTCTGGATGTGCACATCTAATTAATAAAGATACACGAATACAAGAAAGACATACCCAAAAACCCTTTAACAGTGAAGAAGGCATAAGTCTTTAGATCACATCACTAGAAAAGTGTGACCCACTGATTCTATTTAGGAGAACCTGCGGTACACGCAGGACTACAAAAACAAATCACGCCTCTGAAGCGTAAGTGGAAGCCAACACTTTGATGTAGCATTAATGCTTCACACTGCCTCAGTAGAGTTAGACGAAGTCCATGGAGTCGGGGTGAAATTTAGGGCGTACTGAGAAAGCATTAGGCATCGCGGCAGAATCTAAGAGGACATGCAGGAAATTGCTATATCAGCTCTAAAAATTTTATCTTGTACATTTTCCTCGTGTATTTCTTGACACAGTTTTTTTAAATCTATTTGTCCCCATTACTTCAATGAACATTTCCTTTCTGTTTCTAATATTTTATTGGGATCTTTAAGAAACTGTATTTACTATTTATGCCCTTCACTTGTAGTGTAAAGATTTACCGTTAACATAAATTCAAATAAAATTTCCCGTCCATTTCAAGAATTCTAACATTTGGAAACACTCCATTAGACAACTAAGAAGCACTGACACGAACACAATGGCCAACACGCGATTTTTTAAAAACGTTTTGACACAATACGTCGTCGACACATTGATTAAAATATTATTTTTTAACTTATTTTATTTTAATAATCTAAAGTAATTTATTGCATCAAGTGGAGGGATTTGACTTCTTTAGTAAGTTTGATTTTTTAATGGAGGGTAAAATAATTAATTCACATATAATTTTATGCGTTGATTTGTTAAAGAATAAAGCTGAAAAAAAAAATTAAATATATATTACAAAAGAAAAAAATTTACAGTGCATGGTTTACATCCAGAGACTTCATTTTCAGTCACGTCTCTTCGTTTCCTTCTTTCTTCTTTCTTCTTTTCTTCTTTTTTCTTCCTCAGTCGTCTTCTTTATGGTCACCGTCTTCTTCACAGTTTGCATTTCTTCTTCCAGCCATATGCACTTCTTCGTCTCCGACACGCATTGGTGACGTGTTAGATACGTGTCGAACATCGATATGTCAATGCCAACAGGGTGTCTGTGCTTCCCAGGTAGATAACAAAGTTTTCAAGATGGATGTTCTAACTTCCCGAGGCTGAGACTCTAAGCTTTAAAAAGAAACCAGTCTTTCCTATTTTTAAGCTATCAACAAACGGACAACAATTCCAACTCCGCATAATGGGGAGTGCGGCCTTGTGTCAGTTATTGATACAAAAAAGGGTGATCAAGGGTCCAGCCATTTGGTGGGAAATGAGTCAGGCACTCTCAATGGGTCCTCAACTCTCACTGTTTCCCAACATCTGCACACAGTGACCTCTGCGAACTGTACTCATTCTTAAGAATTACTTTTTGATTTCTAATCTTATTTAATGATTGGAAAACATGTTGAATTCGATTTCTAATGAGCAACAAATGAGAAAATTTTGATTCACCATAACTTGTAATTCTCAAGAATCAATTTCTCCCATATCATCAGAACTTAAGTACACTTCAGACCAAAAGTCACTTCATGTTTTCCACCATGTCAAATAATTTTCCACTGCCTTCTCGTTTCTGTTTTTAGTTACCAGCTCTGTGCATATTAGTAACGCTATTTACCATCTAGAATAAGTAATTATTTCAAGGACGTATGTGTCTTGCTGCTAGCCCATCTCAAAACAAGCACGAGTGGAGAGAGCAGAGTCAAAGGTAAGATATAGCCCTCCTGCCCGATCACCCTAACCAGTCATATTGGCATGCAATTATTGTCCACAGTGAGTGCGAAATGAATCATTATGAAATTAGTACCAGATAAAACACCTTTCAATAATTCAATCCAATCATTACCTTATCCATATAATATCAAAACACGCTTAAATACCTTCAGCTTATGGATTACAATCTTCTCAAGACTAACTTTTTTATTTGAATGAGTATCAGGGATGGAAGAAAATTTAGAAATTTAGGCCAATTATCATCAAAACAACAGTATTACACTACCCAGAAAAGATAGAAAAATGCTTCCACCACTACAGCAAAAGAAAGCTAAACATAAAATTCAAATGTAAAGAAACAGGATGGTAAATTTGCTTTCATTCTTTTTTGGTATTAATATACAATTAATCCACAACACATTTACAAAGATCATCATATTATTGAAGCGACACAGACTGGAATTCCTACAATTTACAAAGGGAAACATTTAATAGACATAAGCTTAGTCAGTGAAACCTGTCTTTCGCCAAACAGCATTGCGCACCTGCCTCAGATCTCGTCCTTTCAATGTCCGACCAGCACCCTCGAGGACCGAGCACGCCAATATGGGATGCGTGGCTGCTACCATCTCGTGTGGCGGAACAACCTCCCCCTTCCCCTCCTCGTCCTCAACGTCATCAACCACATTGAAAAACTCATTTCGACTCCTCTGCATTGCCGCCGGTAGTATTGGAATATTCACTGGTGCTGAATGATGATAAACCCGCATCTTATCCGCCACGGGCGTGGGCCTTTTCGGAATTGAGGGGATCATAATTCGAAACGAGGATGACGAGGCATAAGAAGAAGATGCCGAGGAGGCAAGTGACGCGGAGGTGGATGCCTTGTGGTTGAAAACCGCTACGGTTTCATGGTCGGGTCGGGTTTTGAAATCGCCAGTTCCACCGGGTAAAGCTGCTAAGATGCCAAAATTACTATGATGAACTTGATTTTTCGATTTAGGGCTCGGAACCGAAGTCGGGGAGGAGGACTCAGAGAGGATGTCGAAGATTTCATCTTCAGTGAGCTCGAAAGAGGGTGTAGAGGATGTGGTGATCGGGGATTGGAATATTCCGAGGAATCTGTCCGCGGAGGGGGATCTACCGTGGTGGTGGTGGTGGTACTGGCGATGGCGGGACCGGGTAGCGCCGCCTAACTTTTGTTCCATTTCGGTATCTGTATGTGTAGGGTCGGTGGTGGTGGAGTTGATGGCATGGCATGGCAAGGACGAATGTATATTAGTCCAATGTGGAAAGAATCACGTGCATTTGTATATATTGCAGTTGTATACAACCTATGCTTCATTAGTTAGTTGTACATTGAGGGCGTTGACCATTACTTTCAAAAGTACAAGAACTCAATGCAATTGCACTGATTAGAGAAAACAATGGGCCGTGTATAATAAAATAAGATGGTCGGGCCAGCCGGTCGGCAAGGTGTGACCGTTTTGACATCTTGTTTCTAGAATTGACAGTGACTTAAAGGATAGGGGCATAAATAGGCCGCACTATTTACATATTGTTTCTAAGGATGAGTCGAATCCTTGACGGTCCCCACCTGTCCTGCCATAGATTTTGGTGAATGAGGTAACTAGTAGGTTATGCCTCCAAGGATACAGGGTGGAAGACTGTTTGTACACTTGCACTGACCCAATAGCCAAATCCATATTTGAGGATTCGAACCCTTGACGAGGCAGCCTCAAGTAAAGTTGGAATTTTTCCACATTCCCATTTTACCACTTGGAGATGTGCCCTGAGGGCATTTACGTATTGTTTCTAGAACTGTCATGAATGAATGTAAGTTAGTAATGGATTGTGTTGGACTTGGGTTTCCATGGACCGGGTTCGACACACTATATTTTGTTTTTGTGCAAAGGGCAAATTATGGCAGCTACTTTAAAAACTTTTTTCAATTATACGGTTACTAATTTTGGTCTACAAGACCAAAATTGTTTAATATAACACAGATATACGCACTAAAGAAGAGTAATGGTGTGCGTGAACGTATTGGTGGTGGTGTTGGATGGAAGGGATATGTTTCTTCCATTTCTCTGTTGGGTTGTGCAAACTTTGTTAGTAAAATATGGTAGTGGTAGTAAAGGAAGGCGACGATGGAGATGGGATGTGTGGTCATTGCAGCAACGACGTATTTGATTGGTTGTAGTGGTGCTAGTGAAATGCAATGACAATAAGATAGGGTGTAGATCTTGTGGTGGTAGTGGTGATTCGTGGGAAGGCTCGATTCCCATCGTGTGGTGATTCGTGGGATGGGATAGGATTTTGCAGCTGGTCGCCACAACTTGTAGTGTTCTAGTAGTAGTGACAATGGTGGCACAATGATCGTTTAGATGATGGCGATAGTGGCAGAGGTATAACACAGTGTGTTAACAGGGTGGTGGGGGTAGAGGTGTAATACGGTA